TACCTCAGAATGTAACTGCCATCGTATTCGACAGTCAACTGAAATTTAACCCCTTCAGGGTCCAAGGCCCAAATTTGAAATGGTGTCCCAGTGTCCAAGAATTTTCAAAAAAAAAAAAAATTATTTTTTCTTATGAAATGGTAGAGAATCTTTTTGTGAAGGTAATAAAACAAAAAGTAAGAAATTTGATGGAAAATTGACGAAATTATGCTCTCGCGAAATTTGATGTGTCAGCGATATTTACGAATCGGCGATTTTGCCGACTTTGACTCCCATTTTAGGCCAATTACATTATTCCAGTCAACCAAATTCTTAGCTATTTCACTAGTATTACTTCTATTCTATCGGTTGAGCACAAGAAATCGCCAAGTCAACTGTTTCAACTACAAATTAAAGTGATCGGAAATTGTTAATTTGGCCAATTTAACACAAAGTTCAAAATATTCCAATTTCAAAATAGGGTCCAGAATAAACAATGTAGGTATTCCTGGAACTAAACTAACATTTCCTCTGTTCATTAGTTATGTTTTGAGGCTTTACAAATAAATTCCATTTTGATTTTTTATTCACATAATGAATTTTTATTCACACCAAAAGATTTACTGTTATGCAATACTGTAATAATTGTATAAATATCATCACCACATTTGTGAATGCATATTAGACCCACCAGCTGGCGTGTATTAGACGTGTGAGGTCGTTTGTTTACTCTTGAATATCGGCAAAAATTTAACATTTCTGCTACTCTGAGCTAAGTTTCAAGCCATTTCCAGTGCTAAAACCAATCAAAATCATCTCTATTTCTGTAATATGTCTTCCATTCTATCAAATGAGACCAAGAAATCGCAAATACAACTATAAAAAACATATGAAAAAACACTGCAAAGTCGCTGTTTTAATCGAAAAATCATGATTTCAGTTTTTTTTCTCTCATTATACACAGTGTGCTGCAGGATCTGTTTTATGTGGTGCACACATACCACATAGATGTATTCTCTCATATCTAGGCCCAAATGTACCACTCACAGTTTATCAGAGTGAGCTGAGCTCATGACGTAGATCTACGGTTTGGACCCTGAATGTAAAGCCGTAGATCTACGGGACGGACCCTGAAAGGGTTAAACTAACATTTACCATACCTATTATTGCAAGAGCACAACTGTTGTTCTGATAACATGCTAATGTTGAAGGCTTAGAATTCTGGCAACTTTACCAGATACCATTTAGACTACAGCAGTGGATTTTTAACCTGAGGGAAATTACCCCCTCTTCCTCCCCTAAGGGGTAATTCAACATATTTCTGGGGAAAATAAGTTGGTACCACTTACTGTGAGGCACCATCTTTGTATGCATTTTTCATCATTTCAAACATATCAGTGCCTGTTCTAAAACATTACATAATTTTATCTTATTCCAACTCTTAAATTCAAGTTTTTAAACCATTCTAGTCTATGAGCCCTGCAGAGAGAAACACACCTGCTTAACTGATAATGGATATGACAAAGCAATTAAAAAGTCACAGAAAAATAGATGTAACTGTCCAGATAAAATAAAAAGAAAACTACTTTAGTTGTGCAGAAAAACTTACCTATCTTTATGAAATGTACACAACACATTGAGATGGTGGGATCATAGATGAGCACATTAGCAACCCTAGTGTAACAGACTTAGCCTAACCCATAGTATTTACGTTATTTTTACCTGTCACCCTAGTAACGGGATCCAACTTGCATCAAAACAATATCTGGCCAGACTCTGTAGATATATATTTAGTCCTCTTACTGTTCACCCCTAAAACCACTAGCAAACCCAAGGAAGGCTCAGTTTGAGTTTAATGTTGGCAATGTAAGGTCCACATACCTTCTCTGATATACCTCTGAAGGATTTTAAGAGTTTTCCAACAACAGCCCAGCCATGGACTAAGACTGTCAGGTTCTTACCTGATCAGCTAGGCTGTAACCTTAGGCAGCCCTCTGGCCAACGTATCCATCACAGCTTAGTTGACTGACACTTACCCGGATACCTGGAGAGGGTTTCGAGGGTTAACGCCCCTGTGGCACACAAACTGACGTACGAACCATAGCCCGGCTGGTCAGGTACCGACTTTAGGTGCCTGTCCAGTACCTTCTTGAAGACAGCCAGGGGTCTATTGGCAATCCCCTTTATGTATGCTGGGAGGCAGATGAAGTCTTGAGCCCCGAACACTTATTATGTTGTCTCTCAGTGAACTCCTGGTGCCCCTGCTTTCAATGGAAAGTTGCATCTCCTGTCGAGTCTTTTGCTTTCATAGGGAGTGATTTTCGTTTGCAAGTTTGGTACTAATCCCTCTAGGATTTTCCAAGTGTATATTATCATGCATCTCTCTCACCTGCAATCCAGGAAATAAAAATCAAGGGACTCCAACCGTTCCCAGTAATTTAGGTGCCTTATCATACTTTGTGTGTGCTGTGAAAGTTCTGTACACTCTCCAGGTCAGCAATTTCGCCTATCTTGAAGGGGCAGTTAGAGTACAGCAGTATTCCAGCCTAGAGACAACAAGCAATTTGAAGAGAATCATCACGGGCTTGGTGTCCCTAGTTTTGAAGGTTCTCACTATCCATCATATCATTTTCCTAGCTGATGCAGTAGACACATTGTGGTCCTTGAAGGTGAGATCCTCTGACATTATCACTCCCAAGTCCTTCACATTACTTTTAGGCTCTATTATATGGTTAGAATTTGTCATATACCCTGAGTGTGTTTTAATTTCCTCAAGTTTCCATATCTGAGTAATTGAATTTCTCTTCACTGAACTTCATATTGTTTTGAGTGGCCCATTTAAAGATTTGGTTGATGTCCGCTTGGAGTCTTGCAGTGTCTTCGATGGAGGTAACTGTCATGGCTATTCGGGCGTCATCCGCAAAGGAAGACACTGAGCTATGGCTCACATCTCTATGTCAGATACGAGGATGAGGAATAGAATGGGAGCGAGTACTGTGCCTTGTGGAATGGCTTTTTACCGTAGCTGACTCAGACATTACTGTTTACTATTACTCTGTGTTCTATTTGTCACGAAGTTATAGATCCATCTACCAACTTTTCCTGTTATTCCTTATCACGCATTTTGTGCACTATTACACCATGGTCACACTTGTCAAAAGCTTTTGCAAAGTCTGTGTATGCTACATCTGTATTTTGTTTATCCTCCACAGCATACAGGACCTTGTCGAAGTGGTCCAGTAGTCGGGACAGGCAGGAGCAACCTACTGTTAACCCGTGTTGCCCTGGGATGTGTAACTGATGGGTATCTAGGTGGTTGGCAATCTTGCTTCTTAGAGCCATTTCTAAGATTTTTATATGGTATGTCAGTGCTATCCGTCTATAGTTCTTTGCAACTGCTTTACTGCCACCTTTGTAGAGTGGGGCTATGAATGTTGTTTTTACTGAGTGTGGTATGACCAGTGTCCATGCTCCCTTTCCTGCAAATGCTGAAACCACACAACAGGGGCTTCTTGCAATTCTTGATGAACACAGAGTTCCATGAGCCTGGGGCAGAGTACATGGGCATGTCATTTATTACCCTTTCAAAGTCTTGTGGTGTTAGGATAATACCCGAGATTTTTGAGATGACCAAATTCTGGATCTTGTTCATTAAGAATTCATTTGGATCGTCGACCCTTAGTCTGGGTAGCGGCTCGCTGAACACTGAGGCATATTGGGACTTGGGTATCTCACTTATTTCTTGGCTGTCATCTGTGTATGTCCCATCTCACCTAAGCAGGGGTCCAATACTGGGTGTTGTTTTTCACTTAGATTTGGCATTAGAGAAGTAGTATTTTGGGTATTTTTCAATTTACTTTATGACTTTCAGCTCTTCCTGCAAATCTTGTCTCCTGTAGGATTCCTTCAGCTTAAGTTTGATATTTGCAATTTCACTGACCAATGCCTCCATCTTTCAGATATATTGGCCCCTCTCAACAGGTCTGTGACTCTTCGCCTTCATCTGTATAGACAGCTTCTCTCTCTCTCTTTACTTGGCAGAAGTACATGTACAGTACATGTACAATTTCCTCTAAAACCTCCACACTTGTTTCAGAAGAGTTTCTGATATCTTGTATAGAGTTAAACAATTTGGCCCCAATGCTTAAGTTTTCAGTTTAATAAACTTAACTTAGTCTCTCATTTGATTTTAGTCAGTCATTTTTATTTTTTTCACTAACAAGCATTCTTAATTTTAGTAAACTAGTTATAATCGGTGAAACATTACAAACTTGAAAAAATATTTTGCAAAATATTTAATTTTGGTAATCAACTGTTTTTACACCTGCTCTATAGTTGTGTTGTGAGCACAACTGCTTCTTTATGCTCAGAAATTTACCTAAGGTGACAAATTCCCAGAATTGTTAGCCACCACTGCCCACAGAGATGTCTTCTGGATGTTGCAAAACTTAGTGCTGACAAGGAGTTTAAGTGGACAGTTAGTTGGCATGTGCATTGATGGGGCACGGTCTAGAATGTACATTCATTCTGGATTACAAGTGTACTTGAAACAGGTAACAACCCCCCCCCCTTCCATGCCACATTCATCCACAGCAATTTCATCAATAGATGAAGATACTCCCCCCCTGGATCTCATCAATGTGTTACATGAGGTTGTTAAAATTGATAATCATATCCAAAGCAGTGTGGAAAAACTCAAACTTTCATAGTATTGCGTGAAGAGAATGAAGCCAAATTCTGAATACTTCTGTGCCATTCAAAGGTTCTCCATTTATCATGGGAAAGTCAATCTTACACTGCATGTTAGAACACAAGAAGAAATTGCAATGTTCCTGGAAATGGGGAGAAATGCTGGAGCAAGAATTTTATTTGAAAATAACAAACCATATATTCAGTCTAACAATGGTCTATGTTGCAGATTAACCCCGAGATCAGGCCACAACCTCTCAGAAGAAAGGAATATGAATATTCTCACAGCTCAGACAAGGTTACCAAAAGTCCACTGCAAGCTCCAGCTTTACCAATGTAGAGGGTGATGATGTGTCCATGTTCTCAGACTTGACAATTCTACTTGAGGAGACCACAGAGAAGTGTCCATTTCTCATAATCCTTCGACACTTATTTTCCATGGATTGTTCCTTGATCTGGAACATCATGAAGTGAATGTATGGATTGACATCATTTTCAGTGGCAAAAGTAATCAAAGATAAGGTGTCACAGCAAAAGTAGGTTTTTCTTGGCCTGCAAGAAAAGCCAAGAGCAGATTTTGAAGACTATGACCTTGACACCTTTGTCCAAGAAGCTAGTGATAAATACCGGATTCTGGCTAATACCAAGTTTAGATCTTGGACTGAACTCTCATTTTATCATATAAAATAGGAGAACATTACTTATAACCCAGCAACAACTGCTATTTCTTAAGAAAAATTTTATTTTGAGAGATATCAAAAATATTTACTATAGCAAAAGTAGCACTGCTGTCAGTGCGAATCAAAAGTAAACAAGTGTGCCAGTCACACATCTAACTCATAGAGTATGGTAGTTACAATACTGTTGTAGGTTGTCACGTTTGGTTTCCTTAGGTTATTTTAAGTTTCTTACCACTGCCACAAAGCCCACCTATTAGACATTATATGGAGTAAATTATCAATCAAATCAGACCAGAACACTCATTATCATCTCTCATTCTTTGTGACAGAGCTCTAAGTCCTCATCCCATTTGCTATGACATATTGCAAAGCTGGTTTTCCTACAAGAATCAACATAAAAACCAAGGAAAGAAATGTTAGATAATACTCATGACCTGTAATGTGTACTAGCTGTGGCAAAACCTAACATTTCAAAGCTGATTAAGAAAAAAGTATATGTATCGTGCTTCTCTAATCATGTCTGAATTTAAATATTAGACTAGTGATGCAAATAGATCTTAAATATTTTGTGAACATTGAGAAAAATGACATTTACTTCTCTTCTTTTATATTTACCATTAATAAGAGGGTATTATTAGGGCTTTGTTGGCTAGCTTAAGGGAGTAACACTACCAAAAAACAAAGAATCAGTGAACTAGATTATATAAAGTCCTAAACCCTTAGGGGTCATATTTAGTGCCTGGGAAATGAGGCAATCATGTTAGATTTGAAGATGGTGAGAAGTAGCTCCAATAACTGGATGAAGAGCCTTTGAGGCTTCGAGAAAGTATAAAAATGGAAAGGGGGGAGGGGAGATGTTGAGGTGATGGTGAGATGTGCAGCAGACATGTGATGCACACTTACTTGGTTCCTCTGAGAGCTGCCATCTCTATCACCATAACTTGATCCACCGCCTCTGTCACCACCGCCTCGGCCACCGCCACGTCCACCTCGGCCACCCCTATAGTAGCCGCCACCACCACGCTGATGTTCATTCCTGTTGTCTCTCGAGTCACTGTTGTTGTGGGCATGGCTGTCTCTGTTGCTTCCCCCGCCACTCCCGCCGCCACGCCCGCCTCCGCCGCTGCCACCCCCAAGGCTACCTATGCCACCGGGCACTTGGGTAGAAGTCTGAACATTGCCCTGGTTACCACTTCCACCACCGCGGCCTCCAGACCCACCACCACCGCCCCGGTTACCACGGAATCCACCTCGGCCGCCCCGACCACCACCTCGGAAATTCCCCGTACTTTCACTGTTCTCATTCGTCTTGGGCGTCTGCGGCTCTTTCTTCACGTTGTCCATATTCTTGGTCTGGGCCTGGGTGTCCATGGCCATGGCAGGAGGGTATAACTAACGCGGAGAAGCACAGACGCAACACCTGGAGTCAAAATGGCGGCGCGGCGAGGTGTGGCGGCGAGGAGGTGCTGGCCAGGCGGGGGCAATGATCGATACTGCGCATGCGCCCCCAACAACCCACGCTGCACCCCCCCTACTAAGAGGAACCAACCCCCGACCTATCCCAACCATCCCCCCAGAAGAACCCCCGATAGACCCCAACCAATCCCCCCCGACCAACACCACGACCCACGCCGCCCTCCACCACTATACATCCTCCACACTGATCGATAAACACATCCATCCATCCTCACAACACACACAAACATTTTTCCCTCAGCATGGCTCTAACATGAGGTAAATTCAAGGATATATTATATTTGAGGTGGGGTAGTGAGGGGGAGTTAGGGTTTAGCAGTGGGTCCAGAGTTTGCATTTTGTTGGTGCGCATTGTGTCTTAGCCAAGATGCCGGCCACCACACTACACCATATCAATATTCATTATAATAACAACAACAATAATGATTAGTTTACAGAATTAACAAAGTAAAATAATTTGCCGAGATTTTTCATGAATATTTAAAAAGAATGCTTATACTTTATTTAAAGCTATTTTTTTTTATAGTCTTCATTTTTTTGCAACATTTTGGGACATTCCTAATTTTTTCCACTAGATGTAATTATTACTGTAGTCATACTAGTTTCAATATACACTGTACATTAAACTTAAATAACAAAAAGGCACAATACCGTGACTGGAACAATACACAAATCAACAAATAACCCGCACTTAGAAGAGAGGAGCTAGCGACGACGTTTCGGTCCGACTTGGAACGTTTCGGTCTAAGTCGGACCGAAACGTCGCCATTAGCTCCTCTCTTCTATGTGGGGGTTATTTGTGTACATTAAACTTATTTATCCCTTTCATAAATAATTTGAATTTCATGAAAATGCTTGAGAAAGCTCTCCAAAAAGCTGCGAAAATATTGCGAAAGATCCACCACCAAGATCTGAAATTTGAAGGCAAGATGGTAAGGCACGAAGAGGTTAACATCATCATATGAAGTCTTGCAACAACGAGATGCCCAGCAATATGGGAGCTGCCTTAACTATGCAGATCCGATGACAGCCTAAAACATCGAGATGAAATTACCTTGTAAGCTTGGACAGAAGAAAAGCAGAGAGTGTGGGACTACACATAAGCATCCACACAGGCTGACATATTTCCAGTACAGCAGGAAAGAAGGAGGTGCAGCTGAAGAGCTTCGGAAATCCTCAAAGTTTAGAAGTACAGTCAACTTGCATATCATTAGGTGTCGATTCCCTTAGGTTCAGAGACCCTCGAGTCATTGGAAAAAACACATCCATGTTCCTAATGGAACTAGAAAAAAGATTCATCAGAGCAACTAAGGATCACAGAGCAATAAGTGTTCTGTTCCAGCCTCTCAGTGCTGCAGTTCAGATGGATAATGTTTGTTGTATGCTCAGTATGTGTCCAGCTCTGACGAGCTGGATGAAGTTTTTTTTTTTTTTTAATTTTGGTGTTGACAAGATCACCACCGCATTTGTGATTTATCTCTAAAATTTTTAGTATCCTGGACTTTGCTTATGTTACTAACCTCCATGTACCACCAACACACACACACACACACACACACACACACACACACACACACACACACACACACACACACATATATATTATATATAATATATATATATATATATATATATATATATATATATATATATATATATATATATATATATATATATATAATATATATATATATAATATATATATATATATATATATATATATATATATATATATATACGTATATATATAATATATATATATATATATTTATATATATATATATATATTTATATATATGTCGTGCCTAATAGGAAAACTGGTCAATTAGCAAGAACTCATTTAAAATTAAATACTAAAATTTTATCTTGTACGTTTAAAGATATATATTTTTTCATTAATGTTAATGTAAAAAAATTTAATTTTGCACCAAAAGAATCTTAGAAAACGTACCTAACCTTATTATAACAAACGCAATTTATTTTAGCCTAATCCAACTAAATATATTTTAGATAAGTTTACAATAATTTAATTATAAACAAACACAATGAAATATATTTTTTTCATTGGGTTCAGAATGATTTTTGCGAAATTATTACATACACATTTTCGCTCGTCTTATGTGGCAAGATGAGCGTTGCTATTTAAGCCAAGATCGCAAATTTTACATATTCGGCATGACAATATATATATATATATTATATATATATATATATATATATATATATTATATATAATATATATATATATATATATATATATATATATATTATATATACCTTTTTTTTTTTTTTTTTTTTTTTTTTTTTTTTTCTTTTTTTAGGGAAACCGGTTATTTTATATAGCCGGACTTGAGTCCTGGAAATGGGAATTACACTGTCTGCACTCTAAAGGAGGGTTTTGGGATATTAGCAGTTTGGAGGGATATGTTGTGTATCTTTATACGTATATACTTCTAAGCTGTTGTATTCTGAGCACCTCTGCAAAAACAGTGATCATGTGTGAGTGAGGTGAAAGTGTTGAAAGTGGCCCGGTGGCCTGGTGGCTAAAGCTCCCGCTTCACGGAGGGCCCGGGTTCGATTCCCGCCGGGTGGAAACATTTCGACACGTTTCCTTACACCTGTTGTCCTGTTCACCTAGCAGCAAATAGGTACCTGGGTGTTAGTCGACTGGTGTGGGTCGCATCCTGGGGGACAAGATTAAGGACCCCAATGGAAATAAGTTAGACAGTCCTCGATGACGCACTGACTTTCTTGGGTTATCCTGGGTGGCTAACCCTCCGGGGTTAAAAATCCGAACGAAATCTTATCTTATCTTATCTTTCAAATTATTAAATAAATAAAGTATTTTCTTCTTGGGGATTTTCTTTCTTTTTAGGTCACCCTGCCTCGGTGGGAGACGGCTGACTTGTTATATATATATCTATATATATATATATATATATATATAATATATATATATATATATATATATATATATATATATATATATATATATCTGATACCTATCTCCAATACACCAGGGAGGAAGGAGGGGCAGCTGCCAGCTTTAGGGAGTCCCAAAAGTCTAGAAAATATGGAGAACTTGCCCATCATTATATGTTTGTTCCCATAGGCTCAGAGACCCTTGGCTCATGGGGAAAGAGTGCATCTAATTTCCTTAAGGAGCTGGGAAAAAGACTCATCAGGGTAACTAGGGATCCCAGGGCAGCTAGTTTTCTGTTCCAGCGGCTCAGTGCGGCTGTTCAAAGGGGTAATGCCTGCTGTATTTTGGGCACACGCCCCAGCTCTGAGGAGCTGGATGAGATTTTCGCCTTATAATCGGTGATACACACGTAACAACATGTACCGTATATGCCACCTTTATATTAACAATGTATCTCTTAAATCTTCTGTGCCATATTATGTAATAAAATATTCCTATTGGTAAAAAAAAAATAGTTTAAAAGATGGGGTGGTAGGGGAAGTGGAATATTCAAACGGTTTCAGGAAGAAATCCAAATATTCTTCCTTGAAGCCTTTTTATCCACTTCTCCGAGGCTATGGGTCCCACAATTTACACCAGAGGTGGACCCCATCCGTTATATATAATATATATATATTATATATATATATATATATATATATATATATATATATATATATATATATATATATATATATATATATATATATATTTAAAACTCGTCAATTAGCAAGAACTCATTTAAAATTAAGTCCTTTCTCCTAAAATATATTTTTTTCATTATTGTTAATGTAAAAATTTTTAATTTTGCTCCCAAAGAATCTTAGAAAACTTACCTAACCTAATTATAATAAGAACAATTTATTTTAGCCTAACCCAACTAAATATATTTTAGATTTGTTTACAATAATTTAATACTAAACAAACACAGTGAAATATATTTTTTTCGTTAGGTTCAGAATGATTTTTGCGAAATTATTACATACACAAATTTTCACTTGTCCTATATAGCAAGATGAGCGTTGCTATTTAAGCCAAATGTCTATACCATTCCTGGTGTCAATTTCACAAATGGTTATAAATGACCATAATTTTTAAAGGGGTGGACCGGTAAGCCAGTGGAAGGCCTCGGTCAGATGACCAAAAGCTCCAAAGGCGGGTCATCATCTGACTAAAACCCGCGTCAGGAAACATTTGTCCTGTTTCCTGACGAACCTTACCTAACCTAACCTAACCATTCCTGGTTACACAGCCATACACAACTGTAGGCCAGACCAACAAGGGGGTGGCACAGCTATATACTACTCAGACCAACTTGAATGTATCACTAATACTTGCACAAGGGATGAACATGGGGAATATATAATAGCTAAATTCAAATCCAAATACCTACAAAAACCTCTCACAGTGATAAACATCTACAGAGTTCCACAATCAAACATTAGCCAATTTAGTCAAAACCTAGGAAGTATGATAACTGATGCACGCATGAACAAAGATCACTTACTACTCTCAGGTGACTTCAATATAAATCTCCTGCAAGACCAGGACCCACACGTTACTGAATTCACAAACACAATGAGTAACTGCTTGTTGCTACCAACAGTAACAAAAACCTACAAGAGTTACGGAGACTAGTGTTTTCCCCACTTGACCACATCTGGACCAACACCATATCCCTTTAAAATCAAAGGGATAATTACAGATAATACCACAGACCACTACCCTACTTTCCTCATAACAACTCTTGGTAAAATACCCCAAGACACTACTAAACCCACCTTCAGACTTCACAATGAGTCAGCCATTAATAACTTCACAACAGCAGTAACAAACATTGACTGGCACACTGAGCTAGAAATCTATACAGATATTGACGAATGTTTTAATAATTTTCTAAAAAAAGACCCAATATCTCTATAACAAGCACTGCCCTAAAAAAACTAAACAGATGACAGCTAAGAGACTGAACAGTCCCTGGCTAACACCCAGCATTCTCAAATCCATAAATACAAAACACCGATATGAAAAACAGTACAGAATGGGTCACATAACCAGAGACCAAACAA